CCTTGGGTTTGGGATTTGGGTTGTAGATATAAGGGGATGCAGGGTAGAGGAGGTAGGATTACACTCGAACTTGTTAGGGAGATATAAGGAGATCTCTTTGGAGGTGTGGTTGGTCCAATGGGATTTCTCCATGTTGGTGTACAGGGGTTTTGTGGTGCACAAGGACTGTTTTTGTCTTTCCAAAATAGTCTCTGTAATTTTGTGTATATTATAGATGAGGGGGGTGGGTATTTTTATTTCTTTTGTTGTTACCAAATTTAAAAGAAAATGCTTCTTTGATTTTCTTTTAGACTTGGATTCTTTCAGGGGGTTTTGGCATAATAGAAAGTCCATGTTCGGAAAATTAGGATGGTGGTTGGTTTTGAGAAAATCCATCACAGTTGCTGCTACTTACTTTAACTAGTGCTTTGATTGTTTATTTTTTTGGGCTAAGCGTAGCTGGATCTCCATTTTGGATTTTTGTTGCTATCTCTTTTTGCTCAGTTGGGGAACCATCAGCTTCAATTGGGTTCCTGGTTTGATTGGAGCTAATCTCTGGACTCCTGGTTGGTTAATGATCAGCTTCCTCATCTTGCTGGTTAGTCAGTTTCTGAGAGAGTTCCACTTTGAGAGTTTTTTTAGAGTGAGAAAATCTCAAATTCTTGAGATTCTTTGGGGTGGGTTCTTTTCGAGGGGTGCTTTGGGAAACACTCGGGATACACTTGGGTTCATCTGGGGGGAAGGGATGTTATTGTTATATGCAGGTACATGTTACTGTTTCCTCATGGGGTTCTTGGGATTGGGATTTGGGTTGTTGGTATAAGGGGGAGTAGGGTAGAGGAGGTACGTTTTTTCTTGAATTTGCTTAGGAGATATAAGGAAGTTATTCTGGAGGTTTGGTTGGCACATTGGGACTTTATTCATTTGGTGTACAAGGGTTGTGTTTTGCATTCTGAGTATTGTTTGGAGGTGTGGATGAGTCTGTGGTCCCTTTTTTATATGACCTACAGGCTTGCTTCTATTCTTATGTGCATATCTTGGTGGAAGGGGATGGGTAGTCATAGGTCTTTTGATATCACCAAACCTAAAGGAAAATGGCTTTTTTGTTTTTCCTTTAGACTTGGTTTCTTTCTTTGGGTTCTGGAGCTACGGGAGTTCCTTTTTGGAGATAAAAGGTTGGTTGATGAATTGGTGTTTTGGTCCCTCCTTAATGTATTCTCAAATGGCCGGATCTATGCTCCTTAATGATATCTGGTCTTTATGGTTCTTACATGTTTGGCTCATTTTCTGTGGACCAAACATTTGCTTCCTTTCTATTTCTTTTGGTCTGTTATCTTGGCTTTGTCCAAGTTTTGTCTTTATTTCTATAATTGGGAGATACAAGGTTGGTCTATTTGTTTGGAAGTATATCTACTGGTTTAATGTGTTGGATATACTTGGGCTTCAGTTTAGCATAAAAATGTGCTCTCTGTATCAGTGCAATCATAGAATTCATTTTTATGAAGCTGTGATGTATGGTAAATTTTTGACAGCTTGGTGTAGTAGTATATATGGCCAATTGATGCAGCAACCATCTACCCTATGCTGCATCATCAAGTGGCAATTTTTTAATGAAGAAGTTTGGTTTCCAAAATCTTGGATCCCAATTAATGGTAATAGACATTTTGCTTTTAGTGTGGATCATTTTGAAAAAAGGTGTTGGCTTTATATCATTGGGTATAAAAGGAATTGCAATCTGGATCGATGGCCTCTTTGGGAAGAGGGAACCCTAATTTGTGTGCTTTTCTGTGCCATCCTTCTTATCCCGAAAAAGACTGGGGTTCAAATCTCGTATGGCCAAGATTGTGAAATCAAGCGATTGATGCAATGGTTGAAGGGTTTTGGATTGGGTGTCCTGGAGAGCGTCCCTGCTGTGATGATCGTGATTGGGCATCCGATTACAAATTTTTGGATTCTAGGGTTTGGCAGTGAAGAGATGTATAGGTGGATTGGAGATGGTGATAGGGTTACTGAAATCAATTTTCATATGAGGATGGAGATGTGGAATCGATATGAAGTCTGTTGCTTTTACTGCAAAGATGAAGCTGTTTGTGTGGTAGGAGTGTTGATTGGAGTTTGGAGCTCTGTGTCTTGCGATAACTGGTATCGCCTTTTGGACTTGGATTTGGAGTTGGATGGCAAGGTTGACAACTTGGGCTCCATTCCTAGCCTTAGTTCTTTATTTTCGAATTGGGTCTTGATTTTTATTTGGTGGATTGGTAATGGTGTTAGCTTCTGGGTTACTAAGATGGATGATTGGGCTATAGTTACTTCAAAAAATCCCTTTTTGTTGGGCCCACAAAAGATTTAAATTGGGCCTTCACTAGTATTTGGCATTGCAAGGATGCTGGTGGTGTTTGGGATGATGTTGGGCTTCCTCATGTTGGCCCAAACATATGGTGCTGGGCTTCTTATTCTACCATTTTCCTTGATAGTTTGTTTATTTGGGCTTGCAAGCTCTTTTATACCTTTTGGGTTATTAGTAATAGGCATTTACTTAGTATGTTTTCTAAACATTTTATGCACTTATTTTTTCTTTTTCTTTGGGTATACCCTTCGTAGTTGTATTTCTCTCGTTTTTTAAATAAAATTTTTCCGGGGTTCCGTCCCCTTTACCCAAAAAAAAACCCTAAACCCTAAAAGATTTATTAGATTCTTGCGTATTATAAAAAGATTTATTCAACAACTATCTAGATAGATTAAAAATCGGAAAATCATGACTTAAAAATCGTTTTCCCATCTATTTGATCTGTCAGGCAAACAAACCATGACATGTAACATTTTTTTTGGGTTGAAATGCTGCAAGTAACCAATTTTTAAAAATTCAATAATATATTTATTAAAAATATATATATATATA